TCTTTAGTTTTACTTATTTAAATTTAACATATTGACTGGAAGGGGCACTAATCTTAAGTTTATAGCTTGATTATCACACAAAGTAAGATATTGATCATTGTCAACATTACAAAGGTCTACTTTGTGCTCCCATTATCCAAAGGTAAACACTACACAGATTTCTCTTGCCATAAATTAGTTTTGCCTATTTTTGAACTTTAAATAAACCAGATTATATAGTAGGTACTCTTTTTTTGCTAAATGTGGTATCTTTGAAATTCAACCATGTTGTTATGCATAGAAATAGTTTTCTTCACTGCTGCAGAGTATTGCATTATACATATACTTTATTTATCCATTCCATTGTTAATGGACATTTGGGTAACTTCTAGTTTGATTCTATTTTTTAAAAAGATTTTATTTATTTGACAGAGAGAGAGAGAACAAGCAATGGGAGTGGCAGGCAGAGGGAGAGGGAGAAGGAGGCTCCCTGCCAAGTAGGGAGCTCGATGCCCTGCTCCATCACAGGACATAGAGATCATGACCTGAGCTGAAAAGCAGACACTTAACCAATTGAGTCACAGGTGCCCCTTGATTCTATTAAGAATAATGTACTAAGAATATTTTTGTAACTATCTTTTCGTGCTCATATGTATGCATTTCTTTTGGATTTATACCTAGGGGTTGAATGGCTGAGTTATAGAGTGGGTGTAGGCTTAACTTTGCTGGGAACTACAGCATTGTTAAGAGTTTCTGGCAGTCTAACACTTGGTATTGTCAAACTTTTAAAATTTAGTCATTCTGTGGTGTGATATCTTGTTTTGTTTTCAATTTGCATTTTCCTGGTAACTAATTATGTTGAGCACATTTTCATGGTCATTGGCCATTTGGATATTCTCTTTTGTAAAAAACCTATTTGTGTTTTTTATCCTTTCTTAAAAATAATTGAGTCTGTCAATTTTTTCTTAATGATTTATAAGAGATCTTTATTAGTCTAGAAATAGTTCTTTGTGTGATTTATCCATGTAAAATATCTTCTCCCACATTGCTTCTTGTCTTTTCATTCTCTTAGTGGTGTCTTTTGATGAATAGAGGTTGTTTTTTTTTTTTTTTAAGATTTTTATTCATTTGAGAGAGAGAGAGAGTGAGTGAGTTGGGGAGGAGCAAAGGGAGAAGAACAAGCAAACTCTGCACTCAGTGGGGCTTGATCCCATGGGGGTTGATCTCATGACCATGAAATCATAACCTGAGCCAAAATCAAGAGTCGGACGCCCAACTGACTGAGCCACCCAGGCGTCCCATGATGAATAGAGGTTTTAAATTGTAATAAGTCCAAATGATCAATCTTTCCTATTATGTTTAGTGCCTTTTAAAAAATAACAATACTTTTTTTATTATAAATTTTAAAGTAATCTCTATACCCAATGTGGGGCTTGAACTCACAACCCTAAGAGCAAGAGTTGCATGCTCTACCAACTGAGACAGCCAGGTACCCCAGTAGAACTTATTTTTAAAAAGCAGTTTTAGGTTTACAGAAAAATGAGCAGAAAGAACAGAGATTCCCATATATTTCTCCCCCCCTCCAGAACTCCCCCTATTATTAACATCCTACACTGGTGTGGTGCATTTGTTACAACAGATGAACTAATATTAATACATTATCATTAACTAAAGTCCATACTTTACATAAGGGTTCATCACTGTGAAAAAGTGTGAACACTTTGTGAAAGTGTTGTACACTTTTTTTGGTTTTGACAAATGCATAATGTTATTTATCAACCATTAGAGTATCATATAGAATAGTTTCACTGCCCTAAAAATCCCCTGTGCTCCATCTCTTCATTCCTCCCCAGCCCCTGAAAACTGCTGATCTTCTTACTGTCTCCATAGTTTTGCCTTTTCCAGAATGTTGGTTTGGTGGAATCATATGGTGTGTAGCCTTTTCGGACTTCCTTCTTTCACTCAGTAATATGCATTTAAGGTTCTTCCATGTCTTTTCATTTCTTTTTAACACTCCATAATATCCCATTGACTGGATGTACCATAGGTTATTTAACCATTCAGTAACTGAAAGACAACTTGGTAGCTTCCAAGTTTTGGCAATTATGAACAAAGTTTCTATGAACATTTGTGTATAGGTTTTTGTGTAGTCATAAGTTTTCAATTTCTTTGTGATAGCTGGATCATGTGATAAGAGTATGCTTAGCTTTGCAGGAAACCATCAGATTATTTTCCAAAGTGGCGGTACTATTTTACATTCCCACCAGCAATGAATGAGAGTTCCTGTTGCTCCATATCTTTGCCAGCATTTGGTATCATTCATATTCTGGATTTTGACCATTCTAATTGTTGTGTAGTGGTAGCTCATTGCCATTTTAATTTGCATATTCTTGATGACATATGTTGTGGAGCATCTTTTTCATATGTTCATTTTTCAAGCTGTATATATTCTTTGGTGAGGTGTCTGTTAGGGTCTTTGGCTCATTGTTTGAGAGAGAGAGAGGGAGAGAGCACGCGCATGCATGAGCAAAAGCCCAGTGTGAGGCTCCCTCTCACAACCCTGAGATCACGCTCTGAGCTGAAATCATGAGTCGGACACTTAACTGATTGAACCACCCAGGTACTCCTGGCTCTTTTAAAATTAGGATGTTTGTTTTCTAATTATTGACTTTTAAGAGTTTTTTATATATTTTGGATAACAGTTCTTTATCAGATGTGTCTTTTGCAAGTATTTTCTCCCAGTCTGTGGCTGGTCTTCTCATTCTCTTGACATTGTCTCTCATAGAGCAGAAGTTTTCAAATTTAATGAAGCCCACATTATCCATTTTTTCCCCCATAGATAATGCCTCTGTAAAAAGTCACTGACATACCCAAGGTCATCTAGGTTTTCTCCTATGGCATGTTCTAGGAATTTTTTAGTTTTTTGTTTTGTATTTAGCTCTGTGGTTCATTTTCAGTTGATTTTTGTAAAGGGTATAGGGTCCGCATGTAGATTTACTTTTCTTGCATATGGATGTCCAGTTGTTCCAGCACCATTTGTTGAAGAGACTGTCTTTTCTCTATTGTATTGCTTTTGCTCCCTTGTCAAAGATCAGTTAACTACATTTATTGGAGTTACTTCCAAGCTCTTTGTTCTCTTCCACTGGCTTATTTCTTCCTTTATCAATACCACTCTGTCTGGATTACTAAGTCATGTTTTTATGGATGCCTAGACATCCCCAGTGTGGAAAATCAAGCTCATTACATAGAGGATGGAATTATGGCCCAGTGTCTATTTAGACTTGTTGTCTGTGGACCCAGAACTAGTTTATTTGTGACTAACTTAAAATGTACTGGTCTGTCTCTTTCAGTGGCAAGAGACAGAAACCCAACTCAAACAAAGAAATGTTTTGGCTCACAAGAACTAGGAAGGAATGAGTGTAACTGGCATCAGATATATTCCAAATATCCATCCCTCTCTGCCCACTTCTCATTTAGAGGATTTTTAATAATAAGAAAAATTAAAAACCAAAAAACCTACTTCTTACTGGCTTAAAGAATAATTTCATTTCCTTCAAGTGTTTGTTCAAATCTCACTTCCTCAATGAGGCTGACCAACCTTCACTGTCTTCAACACCAACACCTGTCTCCTTCTTATCATGCTTGATTTTTACATTTTATCCACTCACTACTTCTTAACATACTGTAGAATTTTCTTATTTATGTTTTTAGTTTATAATGTCTCTTGGCTAGAATGTTACTTCCACAAGGGCAGGACTCTTATGTATTTAGTTCACTGCGATATTCAAGCACCTAGAACAGGACACCTAGAACATCCCACATGGTAGGTGCTCAACAAATATTGCTGAGTGAATGAAAGGGAACTTATTATCTCATATAAGATGAAGTCCCGAGTTGGGTTGTTTCAGGATTGTTAATTCTGTGGCTCAATGACATAACTGAGAGCCATGTTTTCTTCATCTTCCCTGTCTGCCACCCTCAGCATACCAGCTTGGTACGGTATAGCTAGCTCCATGGTTGCAAGATGGCTGCTGCAGTTCCAGGCATCCCATTTGTCTCATTTTTTCTCTAATCAGTGAGGAATCCTATACTGATTTTTAAAAACCACACTTGCACATATAACAACAGAAATTAAAACAAAGGATAAAATAAGTGCACACCTCATAGACACATTCTTAATATAATTTTACTCAATTGCAACAATGTTAATTTTGGAAGAATTTTGTCAATGTAAATTTATGAAATGTTAAGAAGGCATTTCTGGGTATAGTTAAGTATAATAATTTGGACATTGCTTTTGAAAAGTTTAATAGCTGGAAATTATTTTTTAAAATACATATTAATTATTTTAACAAAATTTCTTAGAAAAAAATGAGGAAATCTGTCATGAAGATGACTAAAGGAAAAGGGCTGAATATATTAAAGTGAGATAAAGTATTTTTAAAAACTGTGAAAATGTATTTAAAAATGTAAAACTTCCATAGGCATAATACAGCCAAAAGCACATGAAAGACAATTAACATACTTTATGAGATCAATTGAATGCATATTTTATTTAACGTAGGTCAAATGGATTAAGAAAATTCCCTTTTGCTAACATAAAAAATGAGATAGTGGTAAGGGATCTGTCGATCTCTTTTAATATTAACTGCTTTGAAAAAGTAGAAAGTATTTGATGTGAAAATGTTAATTTAAAAAACCAGACTATCGGTTGCAATATCGCTCCACCTATGTGACAGGCTCATGCTTATAAAATCGGAAGAGAAAATAACTACAAATCACCCTGTTAATCCATTGGGCATTTCTAGCTGAATTAAGTTTGTCCTTGTTAAAGAAATTATCTTCGTTTTTTTTCACCCCTCAGGAATGCATGTAAAACAGTTCCTGTCTCGATGTACGCCTAAGGCAAAAAGTTCAGTGCTCAATTACCTGCTGTCTGAAGTCTCCTATTTTCCAGGGAGCAAGTGAAATAGCATTTTAATCAGAAGTCTTGACCCATGCTCTTCTTTTTCCCTTCACAGCCCTGCAAGCTATTTGGCCTATGAAGGTCCTGACCTGAGAAAACCATCTTGGACAACTACGCAAGGAGAGGGAAAAATGCAACACCTAGGAGATTTCAGTAAACAGTAGAATCATGCCAACCTAATCTGTGTTAAAATGCTTGGAATGTGGGAGCCGCCAATGATGCCTGTTGTCTGTATGTCTGACTGAATCCTTTCTTTTCTCAGAACAGCAAAGCCAAGCCTGGGAACCAGGCCAAATGCCTGCCACTTACCTTAAATTGATCAGCCACTTGGAGATTCAAACCCCTGAAAGCTGCCACACCGTGAAAACAAGGCCTCCTTCACATTAAAGGCAAACTGCGACTTTGGGGTTTGCTGTGATCTTTTTTCCATTTTTATCCAGTTTTTCACTGTGCACACTTTTCTTCCCCCCCCCTTCCACTTATGCTCCAATGTAGAAGCCAATAGTTACAGCATCTTGGCCAGGCATTCATTAAGGTTTATAAGAACAAAATTTATGGTTATTTAGGAGCTGGCACAAAGACAGACTGTTGCTGGAAAAAGGAAAAGAAATACAGGTGGGAAATATAAGTCTCAACAAAGGCCCACACTATATAGGAGTGTGCTGGGCTCTCGGCAGCGGTCTGGGAGGAAAATTGTATTGTATTTGAAACCAGCTACTCCTCTATGCTGAGTCCTCCCCATTTTATCATTCTGTAGATGATTAAAACAAGTAGACCGGTCATTCCAAGAGATTTTTCTGTCTTGTGTCAGGGTTCCCATTTACTGGAGTGGGCAGCTGTAGAGATGAATAGACAGGTGTCAGTCCAGGTCTGTCAGCTGGGCTAATAGAAGCACATTTAAAAAAATATAGATCATGGATCAGGAGGAGGGCTCTCTTGTGAAGAGATGAAGCACATTCTCATCCCAGTAGACCTTACATAATGGCAGGGCCTGTGTTCCCAAAAATGTAGGGCGTGGGCAAAACACACCCATCATCTCTGAATTCAGGTAATAATGTAGAATTCTGGCATAGGCTGGAATCTATATTCTCCCTCGGGAAATATTGCTAATGATTCCTTTTTTTTTTTTTTAATACTCTGATTTCCTGCAGCGGGGGAATAAGAAGTTTCCTTGTCTTGCCATTTGCAATACTTATGAAGCAGGCATTTTAAGCATACATTTTAGTCTCTACTTATTGTTGTCCAAGAAGTACCTAGGAGTACTGGCACGTCTTGAAAAAACATACAGCCTCAGTGTTTCATGATGTAAACTGTTCCCAAAATACCACTGGTTTTAGCTGGGTCAGTAACTCGCTGTATGACTTAGGGCAAGTTAATATAAGTGTCCAGCCATCCAGCTCCTATTATTAAATGGGAATATTATATCCTGCTACCACCACCACCACCATATTCTTGCCAGGTACACTGTGATAAACTGTTTGCTCCCACTTCTCTGACCTTGTACACACAAGAATGTTTCCCCTTTCCTCTCCAAGAAATTAAGTTCTTCTTTTTTACAGACTGTGTTTTGGAAATCTTCCACATAATTCTTTTTATTCCTTTGTATCAGTATCACCTCAACAGGGAAATGCATCCAGGGTTATATGAACTGGGATTCGTCTACATGTTGCTCTGCATGTAAACCCATTTACTTGTGCACAGATAGGAGTACTTTCCCCTAATTACGCCCATTTTCAACTCCCTAAGAGTAGGGGGTGTGATCTTCTTGATATCTTGTCACCAATAAGCTGCTCATTAAATTAGAATTGAACACACACACACAATCTTTTGCATCACTTCATAAAATGTTAAATACAACTTTGGCTGCATGAACACACAGTGTGATCCTCATCTGCAGATAATACTGATTATTTCTGAGCATGGGTGAGTCTTTTTGCCAATAGTGATTAGAAGTCACTTCCCTGGTTTTGCAGAGTGCCAGAAAACCAGGGTCATCACAGAGGGAACAGAAAATGCTATGGTTTGGTCTGGTGCTGATTTCTGTCTCTGCATCTTTTTAAACAGTTGGCCTTATAACTTTGTCATTTAAATTTCCTACCACGTCCAATAGACTTTAATCTTGATTACCAATTTTATCATAACTTCCAAAGTCGTCATACTTCATATTTTCTATTAATTCTGATTCTTCCATATTTCATCAGTTATCAAGTATTTATGGAGGGACTGATATATGTTCAGTGTTAGGCTAAGAGTAATTGAAAAATTCCTGTATAACAAGAAAGATTGGTAAGAAAATACAAAGCAAGCAAATAATTGCCTGTGGCGATTCACTTTGTGTTTTATCGCATGGGGTAAAATTTGAGGACAATTCAAGAGAATGTATGATGGAATCTTGTTACATGATGAAACAGCCAGAATGACAGTTCAAAGAGTGTGCACTGAAGCCATTGGAGAATGTATATGACTTGAGCAGGGCCTAGAGGAATGGTGGAGGAAGGAGAATGTGGGGATGTGTCTCTGAGAGAGGGGAATAGCATGAACACAGGCACAGAGGTGAGAATGAACTTGGTGACCTCATGAAGCAGCCATGCTTCGGGTGGAGAGGATGGCCAAGAGCATTTTGGGAAATAGGACCGAGAGACAAGTGCCAACTAGTGGAAGTCCTTACAGGTCAAACAGAGGGGTTGTGATGGTCTTGGGAGAAAAATGGGACCCTCTTTAGGGTTGAGAATTAAAGATTTAAGAAGACCATGAATTCTTTTTGATGCAAAGAGCCCTAGACTTGGAATCAGAACACCTCGGCTCTGGTCTTGGTTTCACCATTTTCAAGACATGTGATCTTGAGCAAGTGAGTGAATCATCTGAGCCTTAAGTTCTTGCATTCATAAATAGGGATGGCTCAGCACACCACTGACAGCCACTGCAGCCACATGAGTGTGATGAAATCGTCATCTGGAGAGCAGCAGGGCCTACAGAAACCGAGTGGAGGAAAGAAAGCAGAGAGATGCTGCAAAGGTTGATGCTGCATCATACGGATGACTAGTCCTCCGGTCTCCAGAGAAAACAGCCCTGCCAACTGACTTCTTTCCCTAAAACTCAGTCTCCTCTCCTCGGCTACTCTACAAACCCTGACATTTCGCTACTCTCTCTCTTGCCTTGTCCCTCTTCGGAAAGAGTCATCCTGTCCCTACCTACACCACCTGATAGACCCTTTCTGAGAAATCCCCAACACATTCCCCAAAGGCCTGTGGTCTACTGAGCTTCTCCTTTACTCGCATGACACACTCTGCTGACATTATTCTTTAGAACCATGCCTCCTTATTTTCTGTAAGTCTCCAATTTCCACTAAGTCTGATTCTAAATGATTTTTAAATTTCTTACCTAACAGAATTCACTTTCCTCCCCTGTTGCAAGCCTCCCCACTGATTCCTTTCCTCCTGCTGGTCACCTGATCTCTCTGATGACTCATTACCAGCACACCTCTACCTCCTCCCATTCTCTGTCTCATTCTTGGATCTTCTTGCATTTGAAAGGATTAGGAAGCCACCCTGCTAATGCCAAATCCTGGTGAGGATGTGAGGAACAGAAAGTCACGTAGAGCTGGGGAAAGTTAAATTGGTGCAACCAATTGGAAATCAATTTGGCAATACTTTGTCAAGCCAAAGATGCTCAGACACTCTTCCTACCTAGGTGGTTGCCCTGATAATAATTGTTGTCATATACTGAGTGTTTACTCGGTTAAGACGCTGTTCTCACTGCTTTATTCTCTTGAAGGAGGTGCTTCCGTTATCCTAATTTTACTGAAGGAGGCACAGAGGAATGAAGACACATGCCCAAGATCACACTGTTGGACTCTGGAGGAGCTTGGATCTGGAGGGGGCAATTGGGCTTCTGAGCCTAAGCTGTTATCCACCAAACTTCCTGGAGAAGCTCATACCCCAGGAGCAATGTATACAAATGTTCACTGCAGCACTGAGGACACCAAAAGGTGTGAGTGACTACACTGCCCTTCCCAAGGGTGGATGGGCGGGTCTCTCTGTGGACTACTATACAGAAGCCAAAAGGAATGAACTGGATCCACGAGTATCAAGATGGACTAATCTCAGAAATAGACTCATGTATGAAAAAAGCAAGGTGCAGCAAGATCTATACAATAACACCAGGGATGTAAAATTTTAAAAAAGAAACAATAATACATAGTTTCTAGATAGTTTTATACCTGTAGTAGCTGAAAATCTTAGATGTGAATGAACTAGATCAACTGAAAGATATCTTGAGGGATAGAGGGAGCGGGAAGGAATGAGGGTGATCTTCTCTGGGTTTGTCACATTTAAGCACAAAGGAGAGGGTGGATGAAAACATGGCAAAATATGATTATTTGTTTAATCCGGGTACTGGCTCCATAAGTATCATGTTACATTTTCATTCTTGTTTATATGTTGGAAATATTTTATATATGCAATTTGAAAACATCCCAAAGAAATGAGAAATTAGCCAAAAACCTTACAGGGTGGGAATCATCATTTGGGGGGCTTTTCAAGTGAAAACAAAGTAATTCTCTAGCACAGATTAAGTGCTCAATATTGTGAGGGAATAAAGGGAAGGAGAGGTACTTTCTAGAAGCCTAGAGATTAGTTAAGGAGACAGAGCCAGACCCATACAACAATTCAGAAATAACACAGGCACAGGCAAGGAATTGTGAAGGACAACCTACTCCTGCTGGAGGAATCCCACCTGCGTGGTTTCAGCAGCCTGGTTCTGGGCAATGTAGCAGGGGAAGAAAACTGTACGGGGCTCGTCTCTGAGCGATGGCTAGCCCTTTGAGTATGATCTCCGGCGTGATAGTTTAGGCTCTGCTCTTAAGGAGTGGAGGATAGGAAACACCTCGGCTACCCATCCACACTGGCAGCCTGTTACCAATATAAAGCAACCAAAAATGTAATTTTATTATTTTGTAGTCAGCCCTCTGTTTATATATCTCATGTCCCTAGATTTTGTATAATTAGAGCCTAGCAATAATACCCAAAGTATTTATTAAACATGTTCATTCTGTGTAATATTTGTTATTTATTTATCTCTCTCAATGTACACGATACTTGACAAATATGTAGAAAGACAAGTTTCCTGCCCTGGGGAGTTTATGTTCCAATGTGCACAAATAGAACAGAGGGGTAGGATCTTGACTTGGGGAAGACTTGGCAGCTAGGGAGAGGCTGCCTAGGTAGGAGGGAAGGGAAGCTGAAATCTCTGGAAAACTGGGGATGGGAATGTGGAGGGAATGGAGGACTTTTAAAGAAATCCTTTAAAAGTAAGCATGATGGTCAGTCAGTATAATGCCCTTGAAAAAACTTGGTGAGAGCAAGGGTGAAGGTTGATAATAATAATAATAATAATGCGGAAGC